GGCCCCAGGCTCCAGGTTTATTCCAGGATAAGGTTGACCCCAATAGCCATAGGATCCAGGCCTATCCCAGTGCCAGGCCAGTTCCCATGGCACAAGGCTCAAGGCTGGCCCTCTTATGAAAGTTCTAGGCCTGCCACAGTGCCAGGATGGCCATCACGCACCCAGCCTCCAGGCCTCTCCAGCTCTAAGCTAGCCCCCAGGACCTCAGAGGACCCAAGGTACAGACCCACTCCAGTGGACCCAGGCTCCAGGCTGGCCCTGCAGACACAGGCCCTAGGCCAGCAAACCTGAGGATTCCAGCAACAAGCAGGCCTATGTACCCTGTGAGATGACCCAGTCAATATCACTGAACAGGCTGACTGATAAAGGGCTTTCTCTGCTGAAGTAAGCCTGTAAAGACTAAAAGAAGTACCTACTTGTTCAAATACACAGATACCAATGCAAGTCCACAAGGATCAAGAATAATCAGGGAAACGTGATGTGACCAAAGCAATAAATTAAAGCACCAGTCACCAATCCTAAAGATATGGAGATCTATAAAGTGCATGACAAAGAATTCAAAATAATCAACTTAAAGAAGCTCAATGAATTACAAGAGAACACAGACAACTAAACAAAATCAAGAAAACAATATAAGAACAAAATGAGACGTTCAACAAAGAGAAACCATAAAATAGAACCAAACACAAATTCTGGAGCAGAACACAATGATGAAACTAAAAAGTTCCATAGACAGCTTTAACAGAAGACTCTATCAAACAGAAGAAAGAATCACCAAGCTCAATGACAGTTCATTTGAAATTACCCAGTCAGAGGAACAAAAAGAAAAAAGAATGAAAGAGAGTGAAGAAATCCTGTGGGACATATGGGACACCATAAAGCAAAGAATAGATGTACATAATGGGAATTCCAGAAGGATTAATAAAAAGGATCATAGAAAGAGAAAAGGTCAGACAGCTTAGTCAAGAGAATAACAACAGAAAATTTCCTAAATCTAGAGAAGAGGACATCCAGATCCATGAAGCCCAAAGAATGCCAAATAAGTTAAATATGAAGATATCTTCACTAAGACACATTATAATCCAACTCATGAAAGTCAAAGAAACAGGAAGAATTATGAAAGTAACAAGAGAGAAGTGACTTGTCACATAAAAGGGAATCTTCATAAAGCTATTACCAGATTTGTCAGCAGAAACCTTGCAGGCCAAAAAAGGTTGGGATGATACATTCAATGTACTGAAATTTTTTTAAATTGCCAAAAAGAATATTATACCCACCAAAACAGTCCTTCAGAAATGAAGAAGAAATACTTTCTCAGACAAACAAAAGCTATGGGAATTCATCACCACTAGAGCTGCCTTACAAGAAGTGATAAAAGTAGTTCAAGTTAAAACAAAAAGATGCAAACTAACAATATGAAAACATATAAAAGTATAAAACTCACTGTAAAGGTTAAGTATATAGTCAAATTCACAATATTGTAATACTGTAATGGTAGTATATAAATCACTTTTAACAGTAGTATAAAATTTCTAAAAAATATAAAAATAACTATGGCTACATTATCTTATTAATGGATACACAATATAAAAAATGTAAACTGAGACATCAAAAATGTAAAATGTAGGAGAGAGGGAGTAAAGAGCTTTTGTATGTGATCACAGTTAAGTTGTTATCACCTTAAAAAAGATAACTGTTAACTTTAAGATTTCTTCCATAAGCGTCATGGCAACCACATGGCAGAAACTTACGGTTGATACACAAAAAATAAAGAGAAATGAATCAAACCATATCACTACAAAAAAGCATCAAATCACAAAGGAAGACAGTGAGAAAGGAAGAAAAAAGCAAAGGAACTATAAAATATACAGAAAACAGTGAACAAAATGGCAATAGTAAATCCTTACCTATCAATAATTAATTTGAATGTAAATTGATTAAATTCTACAATCAAAAAACACAAAGTGTGTGAATGGTTAAAACAACAGGATCTGACTACTTCCTTCCTACAAGAGACTCAACGTTAGCCTTATGGACACGCCTAGGCTGAAAATGAAAGGATGGGAAAATACATTCCCTGCAAATGGTAACCAAAAGAGAGCAAGATGGCTATATTTATATCAGAAAGAATAAACTTTATGTCAAAAACTGTCACAAGAAACAAAGAAGTTCATTATATAATGATAAAGATGTCAATTTGTTCAACAGGATATAACAATTATAAATATATCTGTACCCAATATCAGACCACCTATAATATAAAGCAAATATTAAGAGAACTATAGGGAAAAATAGACAGTAACACAATAATAGGAGACTTCAATACCCCAGTGAAATCTTAATCACCAAGGTGATGGTATTAGGAGGTAAGGCTTTGGGAAGACGCTTAAGTCACGCGTGCAGAGCCCTCATGAATGAAATTAGTGCCCTTATAAAAAAGGCCCAAGAGAAACTCCTTGCCCCTTCTGCCATTTGGCATTACTGTGAAAAGACAGCTACCTAGGACATGGGCCCTCAGTAGACATCAAATATGACAGTGCCTAGATCCTGAACTTTCCATCCTCCAGAACTGTAAGAAATAAATTTCTGTTGTTTATAAGCCATGAAGTTTATGGTGTTTTGTTATATCAGCCCACATGGTCTAGGACAATAAGGAAGCAGTGGAATTGAACAACATTATAGTCCAAATGGATCTAACATAAATATATAGAACATTCCATCCAACAGCAGCAGAAGATGCATTCTTTTCAAGTGAAAATGGAAAATTAAACAAGTCTTAACAAATTTTAAGATTGAAATCATATCAAGTATCTTTTCTAACCACAATGGTATAAAACTAGAAATCAATAGAAGGAAAATTGAAAAATTCACAAATATGTAGATATTAAAATAACACACACCTAAACAACCACTGAGTCAAAGAAAAAATCAAAAGGAAACTTAGAAAATATCTTGAGACAGCAGCACAATTCAGAATTGCAAAGATTTGGAAACAACCCAAGTGTCCATCAATACATGAGTGGATTAATAAAATATGGTATATGTATACCATGGAGTTCTACTCAGCCACAAGAAACAATGGTGAGCTAGCACCTCTTGTGTTCTCCTGGAAATAGCTGGAACACATTCTACTAAGTGAAGTACCACAAGAATGTAACAACAAGCACCACATGTACTCACCATCAAATTGGTATTAACTGACTTAACTGACCAACACTTATGTGCACATATAGTAGTAACCTTCATCGGGTGTTGGGCAGGTGGGAGGGGGGAGGAGGGGATGGGTATATTCACACCTAATGGGTGTAGTGCGCACCATCTGGGGGATGGACACGCTTGAAACTCTGACTTAGGTTGGGCAAAGGTACTATATTAACCTAAACATTTGTACTCCCGTAATATGCTGAAATAAAAAAACCAAAAATAATATCTTGAGACAAATCAAAATGAAAATACAACATATAAAAACTTATGGAATGCAGTAAAAGTAGTACAGATAAGGAAGTTTATTGCGATAAACACGTACTGGAAAAAAAGAAGATATCAAATAATCTAACTTTACATCTAAAAAATTCAAAAAAAGAAAAAACTAAGCCTACATTTAGCAAAAGGAAGAAAATAAAGATTAGAGCAGAAAAGAAACTTCAAGCTCAGCTCCAGACTTAAGTTTCCAGAAGCCTTCCATGGCACCAGCATCCTTTTTTTGTTTATTTTATTTTGTTTGCTTGGACCTCCCCATTCCTGCCTTCTTGGCATACCAGTCTTTTGGTACGTTGATGCCATAAACTTTGTAAGTGCTCTACTCCCAAATACAGCCAAATCCTGGGCTAGAACTCACTCATCATGTACTTTATTTAAAGGAAATCTGTGGTAAAACTGAGCTAAACTAGTTAGCTTTATTGGTATATTTTAAATAATTAAATTTATAAAAATGCGATTTACAATAAAAACTTTCAGGTATATTCCAATTGTGTGAAGTAGCCTAAGTTGAGACAAGTATTATCTTACAATTATATAAGCCTATTCTATCAGGCATAGTTTTTTGTACAGAGTTTGATCAATCTTTGGGCTCTAAAAAGTCTTTTACATAAACAGGTTATTTGCATAAATATTTTGTTAAAGATATATGTGAGTACATAATTTCAATGATCATATTTGTATTTATTTCCTTAAATAACAAATATAATTTTCACAATAGTTAGACTATTGTTAAAATAATCACAGTAGTATTTCCAAATAACTAGAACCCTATACTCAGACAAGGTAAATGTTTAGTGAATTGATTTGATACATTTTACTCCATGATCTTCTGATATTCAAAGCACCCTATGTGACATCTCCAGAAAAATACATTTTTCACATAAACTCATTTAACTATGTGACATCTCCAGAAAAATACATTTTTCACATAAGTTTGTTTAACTAGCAATTATCGAGTATTTATTATATGTCCGTGCAGGGCCCAGGTTTTCAGTAAAAGACAGGGTTCCTGCAAATAGGTGCTATATTCTTGTATTATCCTCTTGATATTTGCAGCTTAAGCACAACAGTCCAAATCTTAGTATAGTGCTCAGCATTCAGTAAGTGTTAAATATCAATGTATACTTACTTGACTGATATTAAAATACCAAAATTCATCTAAGACTAATAATTTTACCTGATACTACTCCCACCCACCCCTCCACCTTATACCCTGGTGTAGGCAAACAGCAGTAACTACCAAAGCAACAACAAATAAATTTTCCATATTCCTGATGGAGATACAAAGGAAGAATGGGGTAAGGGGAGTAAGTCTTATGTTATATGAAGAAGAGAACACAATTTTCTATCAACTGGCAACATGTAAGAATAAGCAATACATGTTAAAAGAGCAAATAAATTTATCATGTGGGCGTTTAAAGTCAGAGAAGGTTTAAACTGCCAAAGTACCCTACAGTAAATATTAACTGTCCTCTATGACAGTATTCCTGAATTCACATTCATTGTTTTATTTATATTACCTAAGCCAGAAAGAGCTTTCTTCATATTTATTCTGCTTGTGGGTTTCTACTCCAAAGTTGTAACAGAGAATATGAAGATATCTTGTCTGCAATATAAAAAAAAGTGTCAGATTCGTGATTTCCTTAAATTAAAAAAAAAACTATAGCTACTCAGAATCTTTAAAATTTACTTAAAGTGTTCTGTACATCAAAATAAACTTCTTTATCAAAAGCTCTCAATTCATATAAAGAAGAAATATAAAACATTCAGGTTGCAGCATTAGTTATGTATGGGAAAGTATTACAACATATTATTAATAGAACTTAAAAGATCTTTTGTAACAGGAAATGAGAAACCCAATCATTGCCCAACAAAAGGACAGGCTAAAACACTGTTTTTGGCTGCCAGATCCAGCAAAAGGCTAATGCAGGGAGTATATTCAAAGATAAAAAATCAGGCCTGTAATCCTAGCACTCTGGGAGGCCAAGGCGGGTGGATCGCTCAAGGTCAGGAGTTCGAAACCAGCCTGAACAAGAGCGAGACCCGTATCTACTAAAAAATATAAAGAAATCTGGAGAACTAAAAATATATATCTATAGAAAAAATTAGCCGGGCATGGTGGCGCATGCCTGTAGTCCCAGCTACTCGGGAGGCTGAGGCAGGAGGATCGCTTCAGCCCAGGAGTTTGAGGTTGCTGTGAGCTAGGCTGACGCCACGGCACTCTAGCCTGGGCAACAGAGCCAGACTCTGTCTCAAAAAAAAAAAACAAACCAAAGATAAAAAATCCCTATTGGTGGGGGGGAAGTGGAGCAATGAATGGTTTTTGTTTTGTTTTTTTCCCAAAATTAAGACAACTCTTAAAAATTCTGAACTTTTGAAATGTGTTCATAGCACTATCCAGGCATAAGATTTATTTAGAAATAATAACTTTATCTTTAGCAACAATAATTTTCTTTACTAAATTACCATTGAGATGAAAGCAGTAATAAGTATGTGAGTGGTGCCATAGGAAAACACTCTTTTATGGGTTAATCAGTACCTCAGTTCCTGCATTAACGTCATGTTTTGTAGAATTTTCATCTCTCGAAATACCGAGAAATGGCATAGGATAAATTTTAATTCTAATAATTTATCTAAATATCTCCTCAGTATTTATAGAAACCATCTATCCAGAATTTGATTATACCTACATAAAAAAGTCCTTTATAAGTTTCACCTGAGTAAGACTACAGAAGCAGATCCTCAATCAAGAATCCAAGATCTGAAGCGAGTTATTCATAAGTAATGTGTAAAGATCTGTCTTGCTTCAAAAAAGTTTCACTTTGAATTACAGTACATTCAGAAAATAGAAGCTCAATATGCATGCCTGAGCACATCAGACCTACTGTATTTTTGAGTCTAAAATAAAGAATAGTCTTAGAAATTTGGTCTGGCAAGAATCCAGAGGTATTTAAATGCATTCTTGACACCTCAGCAAAAACAGCTTAACCATTACATGCCCCAGATCCCATAGGTTCACACAGGGCCATACCAATTATGTAGCTATACTGGAATAATGCAGCTCACACCCACTTGCTGCAGAGAGGCCTGTAACTGAACTCGTACAGGGGAAAATGGAAAATAAAAATTTCAATGAACATTTATGTCTACTGAACTGTTATTCAATTTCCTCAGTATTTCTGCCTCTGCCTTCACAATCCTTTCAAGTGTACTTACGTTAAATACTACTTCCTAGGGAAGAAAAGAATACAAAATAATAACAAACTTATAACAACAAACTTAAAAAAGACTAAAAGAATTTTCAAGAGATCTGTAATATTTTTTAATATAATGATAAAAAATGTTTTTACTACCAATGCTGCTCTATTCACCCACTTGATCATTTATACATTCAATAATAACTTTTTATTAAACATCTCCTATCTATTAGGCACCATTCTAGACATTAGAGATACATCAGTGAACAAAACAGACAAAAATCCCTGTCCTCATAAAATATTTCTAATGAAGTATGAGGTACTAAGATTCATAAAAGTATATGTTTAGGAAAATATATTCTTAGCCTTCCATGGAGTGCTAACATCTCATTTTGTAAGCAAAGACACATGGCAAAAATAATACTATGAAGATATATTTATAAGTCTATTGTATATTGGTCATATAGACAGGGACCTACGGGGGCTCCAGGGCCCATGGGATCTCTAGAACCAGCAGCCACTGCTACAGTGACTGGCCCAGAAATGACAGCCCCAACCTAATACTTACTTTGCAATGCCAAGATGAGACTATACAGATGATAAATAAATACTCAATAAGCTATTGATACGAAAAATGAATTTGATCACCAGCTTTTTGGTTCAATACGAGGCTTTTTATTTTCAATTAACTAAATAACTTCATTGTATGCAGCTTACTTTGTAAATAGGCTTTCAAAATTGAGAAAAAGCAAACCTCCAATTACTTTTTTAGTCCCAAGTTTCCAAGCTATTTTTTTCTGATTTGGTTGTCTTTTAATCATTTATAGATCATGCATTTTACAATTCGTTCAATTATAATAGTGTAGCAATAATTGAATGATAATTGCCTGGCCTTAAGACATTTACCTTCCAACCCCTCCCTTACAGCTTTCTCTAATCCTCAGATATCTCGGTAACAATCAAGAATAGCTCATTAGTTATTTCTCATGGTACTCTAAGATACAAACTTATATATCCAATTTCCCAAATACTTTTTTCTCTGCCTCTGAATAACAATACGGCATTACCTTCTGCCTTCATGCCAACACCTCATAGTGATTCCTAATCTAGTTCTGGGATATAGGAAGGATGTCTCAGGAGAAAAAAAGAGTTGGTTTATTTAATCATTAATTCCTTTTAAGTGAATAACACTGTTAGGTTTTCTCCAACCTTTATCTCATCATTTCATTATAAGATTTTCTGCCCTAGATTTCCAGGTCCCTTGTCTAAACTTTACGCCCATCAAAAACACATACTCTAAATAATTTCATTGACCTTTAGAATTAAAAGCATGATTTTCCTAAACATAAAGTTCTATTAACCACTAACCACCTTCCAAATAAAGCATTTTTTTTTTTTTTGAGACAGAGTCTCACTCTGTTGCCGGGGCTAGAGTGCCGTGGCATCAGCTTAGCTCACAGCAACCTCAAACTCCCGGGCTCAAGCGATCCTCCTGCCTCAGCCTCCAGAGTAGCTGGGACTACAGGCATGCGCCACCATGCCCGGCTAATTTTTTTTTCTATATATTTTTAGTTGTCCAGCTAATTTCTTTCTATTTTTAGTAGAGACGGAGGTCTCGCTCTTGCTCAGGCTGGTCTCGAACTCCTGACCTTGAGCAATCCGCCCGCCTCGGCCTCCCAGAGTGCTAGGATTATAGACGTGAGCCACCACACCCGGCCAATTTAAAATTTTAAATGAGACAAAATGTCATTTTCGAAATAGCATCCAAAAGTGGGTGTATTTAACCATATTCAGCTCATAATAGAGCAAATGGGTGAACAGAATAATAATTCATGCTACTGCATGTTTAACAAACTGCTAACAGAGAAAGTTGGTTGAAGAAAGGCAGAGGAACACTGTCTTGTACGAATTAGAACCAAGGGGCTTCATAATCATCAGGCATCCATTCTATATTGCATCTATGGTTAGAAATGTACGTGATAGGAACTCCAGGGATTTTCCAGATTCTTCGGCTAAGGTCTAGGTCAACTGTGGCCACAATGTAACACTTGTGCTGAGTTACTCTCTGTACTAAGCAGTCATCTGTATATGTTCCTTTGTGTGTGCATGGTAATCATTCAAATCTTAGATCCTTGGCAATCCTGAGGGCCACTCGATACTTCTGCCCCGATTTGTCAATTTCAGCCATTACACAGTCAGCTATACAAGGAATACACTGGGCAGACAGTCCATCATTGACTGTACTAAGTCCAGTTTGGCTTTAATGGAAAAGTTGATAAAGCTGGTATCAACCAAGACGTGGTAAAGTGGGCCCAGCTGTGTATTATGTTGGAAGAACAAGCAGGAAGTATGTTGAGGGACTTCTCTTTCCTTCAGTGCGCTGGGATTTTCCTTTTCTTTCTTTTTAGGTTTTAATCTATTCTTTTCTTTACTCACAGAATTGTTATGAGGTTTAAATGTGACATGGTAGATAAACCATACAACAACAGTGAAATAAAGTAAACACTTAAGAAATGTTTAATTCCCAACGCCCTTCTCAGTGTAATTGCTCAGCAGCTAAATGACTGTTACACAGTTGATGACTATCCCATGCTATATAAATCGAACACACAATAATATCAGAAGCAAATAACAGCAAAAACTTTTGCTACTTATCCCCTTGTGACTCTTAATATATCTCTGAGTAGTCTAAGAACCCAGTTGATTCCCGACACTCACAGCCTCTGATCTCTGAGACTAAGCATTCGCTTCGGGGTCACATACTTCCTTGTTTTCTTTTGCGTCCCCTTGAAACAGAAGTTTTAGAGTTAAAAGATTTGGAAATACATTGCACCTTTTTAAGTCTCTTCTTTTCTCTTGTCCACTCCCTTCCCTTCTTCCCTCAAATATCCACCCCCTCTCTCCACTCCCTAAAGCATACCAGGCACCGTTTGGAGCAGTTTAAGAGCTAAGTCTAGAATGAAAATAAGCAAGAGGAACGTGGAGGAAATTTGGCCACAGACTGACTCCCTCCATTCCTGCCCCAAAGCGGTCTGACAATGTCCCTGCTCCAACCCTCCTCTCTCCGAGATTTTCAAGTGTTGCCATACACTGCGTAACTTTTTATTGAATCCTATATTTTTCCAGTATTACGTTTTTGGCTTCTGAGTCTTGTTTAAATTTTACAGGAATGTTGATATTTTTATTTTAGCAGGGAATCACCTTGGTTTGATTCGTGCAATTTTTTTAAACTTATCTTTTGTGCGATATGGTTCCAATGTTGTTTCAGTTTTGCAGTGCTCTTCAAATTTGTCCTGCATATGCAGCACTCATTGGTCAGTCTGGTACCTTGGAGAGGTTTATCTGTTAGCTCAGTTACCAGAGTCTTTGGTATGCAAATTAGGTTGAGATTTATTTAATATGATTACTA